GAGGAGTTAAACATGCACAAGACATAATATCTCGAGGTGTATGGCATTGAACTATGGCATCAAGTTTATAACTCCTTAAACTTCTTTGAGCTGGACTCATTTGCACCAAATGAGCATTGGATGGATGTTTTTGAAACGGTTTTGTTGATTGCTTCAAGATACAATGTGATACTACATTCTTTAACAACTATAGGTAGTCTGACGTTCTTCCCACTTCGATCTAGTCCTCCGTCATGGTATGAGCATGTTGCTTTTACTATTGGGTACGTTAACGGCAATCATTACGTTAAAATATCTTTGGCAGAAGGGCACCGATGCCTTCTATCGTGCCAAATTGGTTTCGTTACAAATATGATTGCGCGACCGCATGAGCTATCCCGTACATGACTCGAATAAATAAGTACGAGCAAATGTTATCTAGTAATCGTACTACGAAATTTATTTCATTTGATTGAGTTGTTATATTTTCAGACTTTTTGTACTCTATTTGTTGATTTATCAATTAACTTATTTTGATGATATTTTTTGTATTAAATTATTTTATCTTTGTAGTTCTAAATATTTATTTACAAAAAAAAAATACATATTTACATTATTAATTAATTAAAATGTTAACAATACAATTATAAAAACTAAAAATAATTTTATAGCTATTTGAAAATAGTTAGTTGGCAAAAATTTATTGTAAAACATAAATTTAAAAAATTAAAATTAGAAAACAATAATTTATAAAACATGAATTTTTGAAAAAAATTAATGTAATTAATTGACTTTGACCTAAAATGTAGGAGGGGGTGCACATATCCTCACCCTCTGTAAAAAGATTTGAAATTGAAGGGATTTGGATAAGGAACTTTTGGTGTGTTTGGTTTGTAATGAAATTGAATTTCATTCTTTATAAATCATTTATAAAAACAAAATATAAAAATAAGCATATTACAATTTTATTAATTGATTATTACAAAACTCATATTTGTAAGATATACCAACCATTCTTGTGGGATTTCGAAATCTAGAAATCTTTCAAACAAAACATGTGATTAAAATGAAATTCATTTTCAAATCTATCTAAATCCAATCAAATCCTATAAACAAAATGGAACCTAAGGTTACAACTGTCTTTCTCAAAAGATTGATGAAATGGAATTAAAGTTCCTAAATGAAACCCAAGAAATTTAAATTACATTATATTCGGGAAAAAAAATTACATACTATAACTCATATAATGAACCAAACGTATGAATGGAAGTTTTGATCAATGGAATTGATCATTCCAATTCTTTCAAATTCCATCTCATTTTATTGAACCAAATTTCATCTTAAACTAAGGGAAAATTAAAGAGTTAAATACATTTTTCGTCCCTATGTTTTTTCTAGTTTATCGATTTTGGTCCCTATATTTTTATAATACATGTCGTTGTGGTTTGCATCCTCGCTTGGAATTGGTCCCATCCCCCTCTCCTTCTAAAACTATTAAAAAAACTGTTAAGTGAGTGACATTTTAGTTTTTTTTTTCCATATTTTTTCAGAAAAAATAAAAAATATATATTATATAATTAATTTGTTAATTACTACTAGAAGCGTACTCGCGCAATGCAGCGAGATACATCATGATTTTAATATTTCATTTTCTTTTTTATCTCAGTCGATATTATAATATGGCTTTATGTGATTTTGAGAAAGCGATAATGTTTTTATTTTTGAA